CTGTCTTTGAAGAACATTGGGCAAGGAGCTCTTCCTCTTCTCCTCCTGACTGCTCTTAACTCAGCCCCGAATGTGGCCTGACTTCTCAGGTGTCCCCACTGCTGTCCCCTAGGAGCCTCTGCTTATCCGCAACACCTCTCCAGACCTTCCCTCACGTGATTTCTGGGCTCTCCCTCCCAGAGACCTCATCTCTCCCTGGGACCCCTCCTCTGACTATCCCAGAGAGCCCTTCCCGACCCTCACCACACCCTGCCAGGGCCACACCTGTGCCTAGGGTCTGGTTTCTGAAGTCAGCAGGCCCCGTAGTCAGTCTGTAACTGGGGGGTGGGGGGAGCTGTCAAAAGGCAGAGCCGAAGGGGACTCTGATACCTTGTTTCTTAGAGACATGGAGATGGAGGGGCCAGTCTCTGTCCGTCCATCCATCCACCCACCCACCCATCATCTACTCACCCATGCATCCATTATTCATCTCATCCTGGTATCCTTTAGTATGCCAGCATTGGGCTCCCCTTATCTGCCTGGACCTCTGGTGGGTAACGAGGATTCAGGAGGGACCAAGACTGATCTGTCCTCACAGAGTTGACAGTCGAGTGACATGAAGCAGCAAATCCCCGCTAAGTGTGTAATGACAACATGAAAGGATGGAGGCCTGGAATTTAGCCCAGGAAATCCAGGAGGATGGGAATGACACAGAGTCTATGGTCTGGAGGATGAGAGGCCCCAGGGAGGAGGACAGCATTCTAGGGAGGAGCAATAGCATGTGCAAAGGCCCTGTGGTGTGTGGCTTGCAGCACAATCAGGGACCAGAAGGGTGGCCTGTGTGGCTGATGGTGAGATCAGAGGGGTAGTGGAGTGGAGGACACGGCTGGGGGGAAGCTTGGAGTCAGGGACAGCTGCTGGAGAGCTTTTAAGCACAGAAAAGGATTCCTAAGTGGGAAGTATACGTTGGGGACAGGAGAGGAATAGGGGGCAGTTGGGAGAACTCACTGGGCTCTGGACTAGGGGAGTCTCAGAGACTTGTAGGCTCGCCAGGGGTCCTAATGCACTTTGTTCGTTCATTCGTTCCCTCGTGTCGTCCCTCAAAGCCTGTCTGTATGGAGCGGCCCCTGCTGAAGCCTGTGGGTTCCCCATTCTCCCCACTTGACAAATGGGGAAGCAGAGGCTCAAAGGCTGAGGGGCAGAGCTGGGATTCCCACCCCCTCACCTCCCCTGTCCAGCCCTCTGATCTGGGAAAGCCAGGTCTGGGGGGCCCCTGCAGCAGTAGGGCCTGTGAGCCTGGCTGCCGCTGGGTCCCCCGTGTACCTTCAGTTGCTCAGCTGACAGATGCTCCTTGGGCCAGCCTCATCCTCAGGAAGCCTTGGGGTGGGAGGCAGCCACCATGCAGCCTTGGACTGCTTGCTGCCCTTCCCGGAATTGGGCTACTGCCCCGTGCCTCAGTTTCCTCATCTGGAAGCCGGGGACGGTGGCCCCCCTCCACGGTGGGTTATCCTGTGCCTCGCTGGGCGGAGGTCTTCCTGTCCCTCTTCAAGGGCAGTAGGCAGTTGCATGGGTTGGGGCGACTTCTCGGGATCGGAGGGTTTTTCTTCGTACTTCCTTGGGGAGCTGTCTGCTGGTGGCTGCCAGGGGCAGCCTGGCTCCTGGGACGCACCCTGTCCTTCCTGTCTCCCACAAGGTTAGGTCCCTGGGGGCTGGGAGTGGAGGACCAAGGTCCTGCAGCATGAAGGAGCCTGACTAGGGTGGGAGGGGCCCCATGGGGCCTGGTCCCCAGCCCCCCCACGTCTGATCCCAGGAAAGCTGCCACTTGGGGTGTGGGGACAGTCCTGGGGCCATGCCACACCTGCCAGCCTCAGGGCTCTGCAGAGGAGGTCGGTTTTGCCGACTTAGAGAGGCTCCTGTTTATGGAGCGCAAGACTACCTAACCGGCGGGCAGAGCCAGGGCCCTGGACCCTGCCCCTCCTAAGGCAGATGTCTGGGACGTCCCCCCAGGTTCCTTGTCTCTCTGGGCCTCGGTTTCCCAGCCCCTGAAGGTGATGGGCTGGGGGCCCAGGGGAGGGGCTTCTGCTGAGCCAGCTGTGCTGGGGTCCCTTCGAGGCCGGGCCAGCCGCCTTTCTCAGCAGTAGCAGCATCCAAGGAACAACGCCCAGTGCCTCTGCACGGTGTTCGAGGCCCTGTTGTAAACTTCCTGCCTGTCGCCGCCCATTCACCCTCACCCTGAGGCGGTGTGCAGGGACCACGTGCCCAGAGCACAGAGGCAGAGGTCTGGACACCTGCCAGCCGTCACGCAGCAGCAAGTGTTGGCGTCAGGGTTCCAACCCCAGGGGAGCCCCTCCAGATTAGGGTCCCTGGTTGTGCAGCACGGGAACCAGCTCAGAAGCAGCTCAAGGCCTCCGCCCTCAACCCAATGGGGAGGAGACCCTGCCCCAACCCGGTAAGAGGGCAGTGAAGCCCCCAGGACCCAGGCTGGCTTGGCACCAGAAAACCTGGCACTGTTCCCCCCCACCCTCACCCCGAGACCTGACTCCGTCACTTACCCTTGGTGAACGCCTCTGTCCCTGTCCATGCAACAGAGGAAAGTGGCTTGTGGCCTCCAAGGCCCGCCCTCCCGCCCACTGCAGGACGGAGTGCTGTAGCGCTGCTACTCGGGGACACAGCTTCCCGCTGTGGTGCTAGTTCATCCCCTTGTCTGGCAGGTGTTTGTTAAAGACCCCCATGTCTTGGGGTGACAGCAGGGGTAAGGCTGCTTTCTTGCCTTCCTCCCTGCAGCTCGTGGCCCAACAGCTGTGGGCTGTGGGCATCAGCCAAATATGTGCTCTAGGGCGCTCTTCATCATGGCCAGAGATGGGGTTCAGTGGGTGTGTGGTCCAGCTGTGACGCTTCCTGGAGGCCAAGGTGAACTGAGGCGTTCACCGGCATCTGCCTCCCCTGTCGGACTTGGTGGCCGTGGCAGTGTCGTCCCAACACAAACGGGCTCAGTGTTTGCTGAGAGAACAAAGCTGAGACAGACTGTGCGAGTCATGGACCTCTCTGAGCCTTGCTTTTCCCATCTGGACCATGGAACTCCAGACCCCACCTCACTCCGAGGGGGTTCTCTCCCACTCTCTCCTGCCCCTCTGCACCGCCTTCTGCTGGTGAGCCAGGGGTCACTCCAGACCAGCCCCCATCCTAGCTGGGGCTGCGAGGAGGAACACAGGAGGCTCCTGGACAATCATAATTTAAATAAAGTCCAGGCTTTGGGTTAGTCCTGGCAACCCATTAACTTGCTGGCTTCTCGCAGATCAAGACCAGATTGGGACCTGGTTGGCTTTAGGGTCCAGAAGGGACGTTGAGGCTGGGAGGGAGGGCCAGGGGTGAGGAAGCAGAGGCTCAGGTGGGCAGAGCTCAAGGCAAGAATGGTGGGATCCGGGGACCCTGTGGTTTCAGGAATGGCCAGGCCTGGGGGTGGGTCCTGGCTGTCCCCCTCCACACCTCTCAGTCTCTGAGCTGTGAGCAGCCTGGTGGGGTGCTCTCCCATCTCCCCTCAGATCACATTTTCCTGCTACCCGTTTGTCACCAGACCGACACTCACAATGTGCCTGTGTACCTGTCCACCTGCGTCCCTGGCACTGGGAACCATTGGTAGTCTGGACCCTGCGACCGCTGCCACCAGCTGCTCAATAAACACTCAGGCCGCTCCTTGGGGGGCCGCTGCCGAGTGGACACCTGTTTACCGCGTCCCGGGAGGAGCGCGTCTTAGCTGCTGGGTCCTTAGGTCTGGAAGGAGACCCTCATTTGGACCTGCCCTGGCTGGGGAGAGCAGTGGGGCCTGCCCTCTGGGCTGCTGTGAGCGCTTAGGGGCCTGGCCCTGACAAGGCGCTCCGTGACAAATTCAGCCGCGCCCCTCGTTGCCCGGGAGTCTCGGGAGAGCGGCCCTCCCGAGAACCGGCCCAAAGCGAGTGTGGGGCTCGGGCTCCGCCCAGGCGGCGAGGCAGGGGCCGGGGGCTACCGGGGATCCCCGACTTCGAGGGTCCGCACGCACAAGCGTTAGGGGTGGCCGTCCACACGGCGCCACCACCTGCTGCCTTCCCGCCTGGGCGCACCGGCCCCCGGGGTCCGGCCGAGGGGCGGCCGCCCGCGGCCTGAGGGAGGGGCGGGGCGGGGCTGGGCGGGGGCCGCCCGCGCGGCCGTACTAGGAGGAATACGGCGGCGCGGCGGCCGGGCTGGGCGGTTTCCCGCCGCCGCCGGTGAATGAGTCCCTGCTGCGCCGCCGCCGCCGCCGCCGCCCGTGCTGGAGCTGCGGCCGCGTCCCCCGCGCGGGCCCCGGACCTTCGCGCCAAGACCCCGGCGTGCCCCGCGGGACCGCCTGCAGCCTCGGGCCACCGCCGCGGGGCAGGTGAGTGCGGGGACCCCGCCGCGGTCCGCAGGCTCTGCGAGGGTCCCCGCCCCCACCCCAAGCCGAGTCTCGGGGGGTGGAGGGCGGAGAACTGGTGGGAGGGGTCAGCTCGCTATGCCGTCAGCCCCCCGACTCATCTCCTGTCCCAGCCCCCACCCGGGTGCCTGCGCCCTCAGAGCTGGGCGAAGCTACAGGTGGGTGGGAGCTGCGGGGGGTGGGGGCGCTGGGCTGGGACATCCCGGGGGTCCGCGTACACACCGTGTGTGTCTTCCCTTTGGACTGAGCGCAGACCGTTTAGAAAGCGCTTTGAGATCCTTAAAACGGGGTGGGGGCGGGAGAGGGGCCGCTCTCCCCTGGGAGCTACCGGGGAGTTGGAGCGCCGCCCCCACCTCGCTCCCTTCCACAGGGTCTGGGAAGTTAAGCCCGATCTCTCTTGGGAGGGGAGGGGAGGCGCGACACGCCCTGAGTGACCCTGTGGGCTCCCTGAAGGCCAGGGCCTTGTCCTTGTGGCCCCCTGCACAGGTGCCAGGAGGCCCTCCCCTTCCAGGCCCTGGGAGCCTACAGCTCCTGACCCCTGCTTCTCCTCCCAGACTCTGCAGAGCTCCTCCTGACCAACCCCCTGCCTGCCCCCATGAAGAAAACCAACCTGTGGTTCTTGGAGCGTCTTCGGGGGTCTGGGGAGAATGTCCCTCCTGGGAGCGAGGCCGGGGACAAGGCTTCCAAGGGGCCCCTGTACAGCAATGTGCTCACACCCGACAAGATCCCCGACTTCTTCATACCCCCCAAGCTGTCCGCTGGCCCCGCAGAGCCGGAGGGGCCGGCTGAGCTGGGCCCTGCCTCGTCAGAGCAGAGCCCGGCCTCAGGGACACCCCGACGAGCCCCCCGGAGCCCCCGGCTGCCGGCCAAGTTGGCAGCTGAGAGCAAGAGCCTGCTGAAGGCAGCCACGAGGCATGTGATCCAGATCGAGAGCGCAGAGGACTGGCCGCCTGAGGAGGCTGCCACCAACGCTGACCCCCAGGCCCAGGGCGCCATGTCCCTGCCCTCCGTGCCCAAGGCTCAGACGTCCTACGGCTTTGCCACGCTGGCAGAGAGCCCCCACACGCGGCGTAAGGAGTCCCTGTTCCACAGCGAGCACGGAGCCCTGGCGCAGGTGGGCTCCCCAGGTGCCGGGCGCCGTCGGGGGGGCGCCAAGGCCAATGGGGGCAACGGGGTGCCAAGGGAGGCTGGTGGGGCCCTCATGAGCCCCGGCCGCTACTTCAGCGGCGGGGAGAGTGACACGGGGTCCTCTGCTGAGTCCTCCCCTTTCGGGTCCCCTCTGCTGTCGCGCTCCGTGTCTCTGCTGAAAGGGTTCGCCCAGGACAGCCAGGCCAAAGTGAGCCAGCTCAAGTACTCAGCGGGCCCGCACGGCTCCCTGTCTGCTGAGGACAGTGCGCCAGACACCAGCCCCAGGGCGCGGCGCCGCCTGGCCCGCAGGCCCACCCCTGAGCCGGGGCCCGAGTCCGGCCAGGCGCCCCGTGCTGAGCACGCCATCCCGATGGGCCCCCGGGGCAGCGTGCGGCTGCTAGCGGAGTACGAGGCCGCCCAGGCCCGCCTGCGGGTGCGCCTGCTGGCCGCCGAGGGCCTCTACGACCACCTCTGTGACGCCCGCTCCATCAACTGCTGCGTGGGGCTGTGTCTGGTCCCCGGCAAGCTGCAGAAGCAGCGCAGCACCATCATCAAGAACAGCCACCACCCCGTCTTCAACGAGGACTTCTTCTTCGATGGCCTGGGGCCGGCCAGCGTCCGAAAACTGGCCCTCAGGATCAAGGTGGTGAACAAGGGCGGCAGCCTCAAGCGGGACGCCCTGCTTGGGGAGAAGGAGCTGCCCCTGACCTCGCTGCTCCCCTTCTTGTAAAGGCCCCTCCCTCCCTGCCTTCCTGGTCTGAGCCCCGGTGGGCAGGAGGCCCGGCTGGGCCAGCAGCCCGGGAGGGGCAGGGTGGGGGCTGGGGGGCTGTTTAGGCTCTGGCGGGGCTGCAGGCAATGCTGGGGCCACTGGCAACTGTGACCAGAACACTCTCCCGTGGGCCCATTTTTTCAGAGGAGGAAGAGGGGGCCGCCAGGGAAAAGAAGGGGACACTTTGCAGGGCGGAGTGTCCTCCCCCACCCTGTGCCCTAAGTTCATGCTACTTCACCCCTTTCAGACTTCTGGAGAGGGGTCTTCTGGGGGAGGTGGTCACCAGGAACCCGTGCCTGGAGGCCGTTCAAGTGGATCACAGGCCTGGAGGGGCCGGTTCCGAGGCTGAGCCCGGTGTTTCCCACGGTTGTGTGGGACTCCCCCTGGCCTGGCCCAGCAGGCCGCTGCACCCTCCTGAGAGCAGTCCCAGGCCCGGGATCTGCCGACAGCACCCGTGAGGCTGCAGGGGACACTCCACCTGGGTTAGGCTCTGGAGCAAAGTGGGTTGCGGAGGCAGGGGCCCCCAGCCGGCAAAACGCAGGCAGAGAAGGGAGGCCGTGTTGCTGTGGGGCTGGGAGTGGAGGAAGGACCTCAGAGGCTGAGGCTCTCCTGCCCCAGGAGCCTGTCTGCTGTTCTCCAGCACCTTCCCTGCCCCGCCTGCCCACCTCACCTTCAGGAGCGCCTCCACCACGGGGGCGGGGAGTATGCTCAGAACAGGCCCAGAGCGCAGACCCCAAACCCAGCTCCCCCCATCCCTCCGAGGCTAGGGGCCACCACCTTCCTGCGTAGTCCTTGGTCGCTGGACGCCAGGAAGTGATAGCCAAGGACTGAGGCTTGGGCTTTCCCTCCACGCAGGAAATAGGTTTTGGTTAGCATGGGTGGGATGGAGGGACGGAGCTGGTGGGTGGGGAGGACCCCTGGTGTGCCCCTTCATGTCGCATGGGTTTCATGTCGTGTCCGTCTGTGGGTCCTTGAATGACAGTCCGTGAACATTTCCCAGCTTCTCCCAACAGAAATGGTACATTGGAAGGACGGGCCAGGCCAGGCTTGCCTCTTGGTCCTGGGCTGTCTGGTAGGCATGGTTGGACTGGGGCAGCTCCCGGGGATCCTGGGCACCCCTCCCCACCCAGACGTTGTCCCTCCTGACTAGGTTTCCAAATGGCATCGGGGGAGGGACGAAGGAAAAGCACTTGTTCCCCTTTGCACTTTGGGACTGAGAATTTGGGGCCTTGGGAGCTGAGGCCCCTTGCTGTGCGCCCCCTGCCCCCCCACCTCTGTCCTAGGCCTGCTCCTTCATGCTCCCTGCTCTTGGTGTTGGGGGTTCCCCTTTACTCTAGAACCTGGGGACCCCCCAGGGCCAGGCTCGTGGGCTGGAGCAGGTGGACCAAGGACCCTGCCCTGAGTCAGACGCTTGGAGCTTGTACTGCCCCCCACCCCCGCCTGGACCCTGACCTCCCAGCCCTGCTGTCCCTCTGGGGGGGGGGGGCATTCTATATGGCCCCACACTATTTGATATCTTTGTGCTCCAAGGTGACTGTGGGTAAATCTTTAAGACACCTTCTCCCAAGTGTGTTTGTTTATAAATGCTGTTTTTAGTGCAATAAAGGTGTTTGTGGGAGCGCGGGGGTGGGGATCTGTTTGCTTCGGTTTTAGTAACAGGCGGAATTTTGCCTTGAGCTCCAGGGAGGGTGGTGGGGCCTTCTGATCACAGAATGCTCTCAGCTCTCAGGTGCTCTGCGTCTGTCTCCCGCTTGGGGTGGGGGTGGGAAGGTGGACTGCACCGGGTGGGGGGGGTGCCACTGGGGTCGCTGGGCCCTGACATGGTGCCGGCAAGCACACATTAACCCGCGGGTCTGTGTGCAGGTCCTGTCCGTGCCCAGCATCCGCACACGTGGCATCCCGCCTCCCAGACAAGGGCAGGAGGCCCTCCGTGGCGTGCTCAAGGGCCTCTGGCTGGTGAGGGCCGGCCTGGAAGCCACGCCCTCGCTGTGGCCAGGACCTGCCCCTTCCAGGCTCTGCCCACCTGTGGACGCGCTGGACTTGTGCTGTCATCACCGGCAGGGACCCCGTCAGGTGCCGTCGGCCACCAGAGCAGGGCGCCGCCCCCCACCTGCCCCTCGCTGTCACCTGGTCTGCCTCAGCCCCTGTGATCAGCGAGAGAGCAGGGAGCCAGTGCGTCGGCGCCACCCCCACCTCCCGGACTACGGGGCAGGCCGTTCACATTGATGCCGGTACCTGGGCCTGGGAGGTCTCCTAGACCCCACCTTCACTTTCAGTCTTCGGCTGAGATGGCACCTCCTCCAGGAAGCCTTCCCAGTCCTCTCAGCTGGGGTATGGGGCTTTTCTCAGTACGTCCTGCGTCTGATGTCTAGCTCACATGCTGGCAGGGGTCGGGACAGGTTCACCTCTGCCAGGGGTGCCCTCAGCTCCACACCACACTGGGCACCACGAAACGCCTGACTGGTAACGGATGAGTCATTGCAAAACCATGGCTTGACCACATGCCTGGGCCCCTGCAGGGTCACTGGGGAGCTGGAAAGCCTGCGGGAAAGGGTGAGGGTCCCCCCTGCCCTTCCCCGACCCTTGCTCTCACCTGAGGAACCGCTGGGGCTTGGGCTGCTGTTCAGCTGGGGCCAACCTCGCCTCCCTGGGCTCTCCTCTTGCGGAAGGGCTGAGATGGCGAGAGACGTGGAGAGCCGTGTCTGGCAGAGTCTGGGAGGCGGCACGTCACCGGAGGCTGGGGGTTGGAACGGGGACATGGTGAGGACAAGAGCAGGTCGGGCAGCACGGGCTCCTCAGGCCCAGGGAGTGTGGAGCTCGGGCTGATGCGGGCTGACTGGGGACTCGTTCTGTGTGACAGATGGGGAAACTGAGGCCCGGAGCCGTGGTGTAGGCCTGCTGCCCCTTCACAGACTTGCTCAGTGGGGAGCTGTGCTCCCTCGTCCCCCCAGTTCTGGGGTCAAAAGGTAGATGAGACGGAGCTGGAGGACTGGCCCTCCGGGTGCTGACCCGAGGGGTCGCTCGAGGCTGGGCAGCGGCAGAACCATCTAGTCTGGGGTAGGAGGGAGGGATGCCGGACCCACAGCCTGGAAGAAACGCAGGGTCAGGAGGTGCGTCCCAGGAGGGGGCGGGTGCCTCCCTGCCAAGTCTGCGTTGGGCATGCCCGCCCCCGTCTGCCCAGCCAAAGCTCCCCACGTAGAACTGGTGGGACTGGGGGGCCCTGCCAGGTGGGGGGCGGGGAGGGCAAACACATCTGAGCATTTGGTCTTTCTGCCAGCGAACATTAGTTGGGCTCCTGCTGTATGCTGGACCCCTTGGGGGAGCCTCAGCAGATCCCAGCGAGGAAGTCCCAGGTCGCAGACAGAGAACACAAGAGCCAGGTGGGAGGGTGGGATGTGGTCCTACTGTGTGCAGCTCTACACTCTGGGTGTGCCTGGTCTCCAGTGTGCGGACCCACTGTACAGCAGAGGGGACAAGGGTGCAGAGCGATCCTGGAAAGGAGGGGGCCTTGAACCCGTGCCCAGTGGGACAGGAGCACAGACAGGCTTGGGCTGGGTCACCCCCCAACGGCCTGCTCAGAGCTGGGGTCCCCTCAGACCCGCGCCCCGGAGCTGGCTTACTCTGGGGTTCTTGGCAGGCCGAGAGTGCCCTGAGCCGTGGTGCTGGGCTCTGTCCCTCCCCAGGTCCTGGGGCTGAGGGGCTGTGCCCCCTCCACACCCCAGGGCTGGGTGCGTCTCTGCCCACAGCTCCCCTGGGCAGGGCCCTGACTCCTGCTCTGACCCCAGGCTGGGCTGCTTTCTCTCCTCTTAGCCCCGTGGGGTCCAGACTGTCCACGACAAAGCCACCAGGAGCCTCTGTGCGGGGTTAGGGTCCCAAGCAGCCCCCTGCATGCCGGCAGGCAGCAAAAGAGCTGCACAAATGAGGCTTGGTGATGTCCCAGGATGTGTTGCCAGGGCAACCGGGCACCTTCTTGCCTCTTCCCCCGCTAGCCACCGATTGCTGGGCAGTCTGTGTGTGCGTGTGCACACACAAGTATGCGTGCATGTGTGTGGGGGCACAGCCACGGGCTGCTGTGCACACACGTGCGTGTGTCAGTGTGGCCGCGAGCATGCTGAGCGCCATCCCGTTTGCACCCACGGGACACAGTGCAGGTGTGAGCACGGGAACACACGGAGGCTCACCAGGGTGGCCACGTGTGTGTCAGCATGCTCTCATGTCTGCAGGGGCCGTGTGCATGTGTTTCTGCGTGTGCTGGCGACGAGCTGTGCCGTGCGTGTGGGTGCACGTGTGCGTGCGCGTGCGCTGTGGCTGGCCCGTGCCTCCAGACGCTGGAAAGGACCTGCCCTGCTGGGACCAGCTGCCTGCGAGGACCCATCCCTCCTGTCTGGGTGCCGGCTCCTTGAGGGACATACCCTTGCCGTGCGCTCCATTCCACCTGTGGGTCTCAAGCCCCTTCTCGCTCCCCGGGGAACCCACTCCACACCGAGGTCAGACCCCCTTTACTGCCTGGGACAGCAGCTGGACTGTGTTTGCCCCCCAGCACTCAGCCCTGCGGTCAAGCCGGGGGGCATCCTTCCTCCGCCTTGCAGCCTGGCAGCCCTGCGAGCATAGCTACTCTCAGGAGAGCCAGGGACACCCAGGGCCCCCAGCAGCAGTGGGTACCAGACTGGCTGCCCCTTTCTCTGAGCAGAGCCAGCACAGGCCACAGCAGAGCCAAGAGAGGAGGAGTCTGATGCCTGCCGCCTCGTGGGCGCCCACATCTGGCCGTGCCTGAAGTCCACAGCTGCACACCATTTCAGTTCAGAGCGACAGTGAAGTCCCTTCTTGGCCTCAGCTAGTTAGTCATTCATGTGTCTGTGTGCTGTCTTTTGTATTTCCGTTTGCAGTGAAAGGACACGGGTACAGCAAGTCTTCAGTCTGGGGAAGGAGAAACAGCGCTGACCTAGGGGTGTCCCAGCCTG